CTCGCGGGAGGCGCGCCTGACTCGTGCGGCCGGCCGCAGACGGACGCCTGACCCGCTCTGCTGCGAGCTGCGGCGAGGGCCTGCGAACTCCTCCCGAGACCTCCAGGCAGTGGCGGGAGGCGGTGCCCGCCAGTCGCCTTGTTGCGAAGTTCGATCGTCCTGGAACTCTTCCGGGCCCCACGGGGAGCCTTTTGGGGCGATGTTGGGGCCATCTTGAGGCCTCAGACTCCCATGAGGGAGCCCGAAGAACTCATCAACAAAAACACCTGGTTTTCTAACGATCCTGTCTCTATTGGGGGCTGTCGGGGCGCTCCACAGGAGGGCTACAGTCAACCCGCATAGTAAGGATGAACGACTTCCCAAGGGTACCCTTGCATCCTTGCCTCGTCGGCCCATCGTTGGCCGCATTCGCTAGCCAACTTTGCTCGAAAAATGTGAACATGGCCGTCCAAGGCCCTTGCATCCTTACCCCGCATCCGTATTGTACGGGCTGCCTGTATGCGCTCTCCAAGAGATGCCAACATGTTTGGATTCAGGGTTTCTGGCGCGACCTAGTCGAGGGCGTGGCTTCTTGTAGGATGCGGTCGGACCGAGGGTGTAAGATCGAGGTCGGTTCGGGGAGGGTACCCACATGTTCTTCGTGTTTGTTGGATGCTCTTGTGCATCCTGGGGAGGGTGCTCTCGAATGTTCTTCAGTTTGGCTGGCGGAGGGTCTCACGTTCTTGAAGGATGTTATTATGCCCTTGGTCCGACCGTATGCGCTCCCCAAAAAATACTAACATATTTGGATTCAGGGTTTCCGGGGCGACCCAGTCAAGGGCGTGGCTTCTTGTAGGATATTCCGTTGCCTTTGTGCTGGAGTCCAGGCGTGCACCGGTGCTATTGCGATGGGCATGATCGCGTCTGCTTGGCCCGAGGTTTTTCTTTGGGCTGTGAGCATGTTGCCACGTGCGTCGCTCCGCTCGATGGTCGTTTCTCTGCGTGTGCACACGGAGCGAGGTCCGCAGCGCGCGTCGGACTTGAACCAGCGCGTGCAAGGAGAGGCACCTCTGTGCCTGTCCCCGACGAGAGGAACTGCACGAACGTAGCAGCCACGGGGAGGGCTGAAATGCAACCCTGCGCGGACGTTGGATGAGTGGCTTGTTTTCTACCACCACCACCACCACCATAAGTTGGAGGGGGGAAGGAGGTGGAGGATGAGGAGGAGGAGGAGGAGGAGGGCCCCCTCCCCCTCCTACTTGTAGTGGTGATGGTGGTGGTGGAAAACAAGCCCACAATTGGAGGTCAGGGGCCAGCGGCCGACTGGTGCTTGAGAGCACACTCTCACGTGATCCTCAGTCTGGCGAGAGCGACTTGCATTTTGACCCTCTGGCTAGGCCGGTGCTTCCACGACGTTTGGCTCGTGCTCTTGCCTTTGGTCGCGCTCCTCCTCTCAATATCCTCCTGCGTCTCCTCCTCTCCCCCCTTCCCTGTCCCATTTCCTCCCGCTGCGATCTCTCCCCTTGTCCCCCCCTGCTCCTGGGCATGTGCACGTGTTTTTGGGCTCGCAGGCAGCACGAGGTAGTGGATGCGCATGCCTCTGCTGTGCGCAGCACCGGCATGATGAACGATGCCAGGGTGATGCCAGGCTCGGGGGTTCGTAGAGGGGGGTTATCCCAAGGTGGGGTTAGGGAACCAACACAGCTGGATGCTCACATTTTCTTATCCCAGAAGCCGTTGAGAGCGATTTTCCTGTAACCCCACCTTCGCCCCTACCCCACCTTTACGTCCCCCCGACAGGCACAGCAGGCGTGGTGGTGCGTCCCGTGCCCGAGCATCGAGGAACAACAAATGCCACAAGCACAGACTTTCGGAGGTCCGCGCGGATTTCTTGGATCGGCGCTTCGCCCCCAGCCCCTGGCGCGCGGAGCACGCCAGGACAGGGGCAGCGCCGATCCACGAAGCCCGCACGGAGCTCCGAAAGTTTCTGTGTGTGGGACTTCTTGACTCCTCGACGAGCACCCGCGTGTATCCTTGGGTTCCTCTTGGTTCTTGGAAGGGCAGCACCACCGCAAACTCGCTCTGGCACGCTCAAAACGACCATGCCCAGGACGGCCGCACCCGAAACGACCACTCTGAGCTCGCAGGCCCAATCTGGCCTCCCATAATCTTCAAACCGCCAAGCCGAACCCTGAATCTATCCCCCCCCGCACGCTTCCGCCACCACTCCGCCGGCGGAGCCCTTCCTCGTTTTGCTCCCGCCAGTTGCCGCCGACCTCCCGCCGCCTTTCTCCTCCTCCTCCTCCTCCTCCTTTTCTTCTTCCTCCTCCTCCTCCTCCTCCTCCTCCTCCTCCTCCTCTTCCTCTCCCCCCTCTTTTCCTCCTCCTCCTCCTCCCCCTCCTCCGAGGCCCTCGGAGGCCAGGCCCCAAGCGGAACCCAGGCCCATCCGCCGCCCCGCCACGCTGGCCGCAGAGGCAGCGCACCCGGCGGGAGCCTCGCCCCGCGGCGCCGCGGGCCTGCGCGGGTGCGGCCGAGGCAGCGGCCGCCGCTGCCGTGGTCGCGGGCGCCGCCGCGCGCCTGGCTGGGCGGAGGCCGCGCCCGAGCCACGCCACGCCAGCTCGTTGCGTGATGCTCGGGCCCGAGCGAAGCTTCTCAGCGGCGAGCGCGGGGGTCAGTATCGTTTCACCGATCCCCATCTCCATCCCCATCCCGATCCCCATCTTTCCACCACCCCGGTTGGGAATATGTCCCTCGAGACTCGAAGGGAGCAGGCTACATCCCCATCTGGGGTGGTAGATCGGCCAGCGGGGTCCAGGTCACGCCGGCGGGGATGGGGATCGGCGAAACGATGCTGAGGGGGGAAGCGAAAAGGGGCGGGCCTTCGCAGAAGGCTCGCAAGGCCTGCCTCTTCTCATTTCCCCGGGCTCGCTGCCTAACCTCTGGGTCGGTTTGGGAGGTCGCCGCAGCGATCGCGGCGGCCACAACTCGTGGAAAGGTTGTTGTCAAGGGGTGGCACGCCCCTCCCCAGCCCAGCCCCCCCCCGCTCTGAGATGTAGACGTGGCCTGTCGTCGACGACGTGGCGACAGTGAGCTTCCAATGCACGTCCAGCAGGGGCAGCCCTGTTTTTTGCTGGCCAGGCGTCGATGATCACGCAACCATCAGCGGTGCGCGGTCGCTTCGGGCGCCGGCCTGTCGTGCCTGCCAGCGGCGCGGGTGCGGAGGCCGTCGTGGAGAGCCCGGGCGCAGCCGCGGCCCCCCGCGGCGCCAGAGCGCGCTGCGACGTCGCGGCCGCGGGCGGCGCGAGTCCGACGGCGAAGCGCCTGAAGGACATCGTGTTCGAGAAGGATCGGAAGGTCATCCACCACCCACCAGACTACCCCAACCCAACCCGAAGGCCCCGATGTTGCCCTCCGTTCCCAGCGTGGGGGGCGTACCTCGTACCCCCCCGCCCACAATTTGGGCCTTCGGGTTGGGTTGGGGTGGTCTGGCAGGTAAGCCCCACCTTGCCAAGCCGATCAGCGAACTGGCCCCGTAGGGTTCTCGAGAGGGCGCTGCGGCCACCCTCTTCCGGGGCTCTGCGCGCGCCGAGCCTGGCCCCAGGCCGCTTTTTCACCGGGGGGTGTTCTGCGGCAGGGCTTCCTCCGGCCCGCACCGAAGCGCCGCACGCTCTGAGGGCGCTCCGGCCGTCTGCGGCACTCTCCTCACGTGCAGAGGGGGGAGGGGCAGGGGCAGGGGGGAAGGCTTCTTGGAAGCACCCCTGCTTCCAGGAAGCCTTCCCCCCTTCCCCTGACCCCCTGTGCGCGCCGCCGATGCCGGGCTGCTTCTGGCCCACCCCGAAGTTCTTCACGCTCTGAGGGCGCTCTGGCCGTCCGCGGCCCTCTCCCCCGTTCCCTCCCGGCCTTCCTTGCCGCCTCAGCGCCCAATTCGCGCCACAGAAGCCCTGCCGCAGCCACAAGCGCAACTTGGATCCAAGGCGCCGCCGATGAAAACAGTTGTGCTAAAAGGCGAGCCCGCGCCCAAGCCCGAGCCTGGGCCCGAGCCCGAGCCTGAATCCGAGCCCGAGCCCCAAACGGAGCCCCGGCCCGAGCCCGAGCCCAGGCCCGAGCCCGAGCCCGAGCCCCAGCTCGACCCCGAGTCCAGGCGAGCCCGTACAGCCCACGCCCGAGCCCGAGCCCGAGCACGAAACCGAGAAGCCTGGGCCTGGGCCCGAGACCGAAGCTCGTTCTGTCCACCCCCGAGAGGAGATGCGGGTCGCGATCACCTCGGGCGAGTTCGCCCTGCGCCTGCGCGGCGCGGAGCGCCCTGGAGCCGTCGACTACGAGAGCCTGTGCGACAGGCTCAAGAGCTTCGCCGAGCGCCTGCGGAGGCATCCGCCGGACGCGGACGTGATGAGCGAGGGCGCAGTGTGGAAGGCGCAGCAGGCCAGAGGAGGAGAAGGTGCCGCTGCCGCCACCTGCACCTCGTTTTCGCCTCTTTGGGCATCCCGGGAGGTCCTCGTCGCCACCGCTGGATTCGCCTCCAGATCCTGGTCCGAACGCGCCGGGGGAGAGGCCTGGGGAGTAGCAGCATCGGTGCCTTTGGAACTCCCCAGCAGGACCTGGAGATGACCAGGCTCGGTGGATAAACAATCGCACAAACATGGACTTTCGGAGCTCCGCGCGGATGTCCTACATCAGCGCCGTGCCACCCTGGCGGCGCCTCCGGTGCCGCGCTTGGCGCGCCTCCGTGCGCCAGGGAGGGGGGCCCATCGCCGATCCAAGAAATCCGCGTGGAGCTTCGAGAGCGTACGTCTACGGCAGGTTCGACCGGCGGCGACCCTGCGGCCGGCGGTCAACGTTGAACGCCGCCGCCGACCCAGAGTCCGTCGATGTTGAACGATTTGACGTGTGTGAAACCGCCGATCGTTCAAGGTTGAACGATCCCCGCGGTGTCAGGAACCAGCGCCAGGATCCACACGACACGAACTCGCCGTGTGTCTCGTCCCTCCCAGAGGCAGAAGCTCCAGGAGCGCCTGGTGGACATGACGCGGCGCCAGGCCGCCTCCGCCGACGACGGGGCGGCGGCTCCGGGCGGTGCAGCCCCTGCGGGAGCGGCGCACCCGCAGGCCGACGTGGGCACCACGCCGGGCGAAGCGGTGGGCAGCGGCGCTCGCCCGGCTCAGCCAAGCAAGTTTCTGCTCTATCTCCGCGAGGACCAGACGGTGGACATCGACGCGGCGCTGAAGGATCGTTGCGTGACATCCGGCCCCGAAGCAAACCTCCGAATCGGTGTTGGAGGTCGCCGCGGCGATCGCGGCCGGCACAGATGGTGGCAGGGTATCTGTCAAGGAGTGGCATGCCCCTTCCCAGCACCCCCCCTCCGCTCTGCGATGTAGACGTGGCGCCTGAGTATCAACGCAGCGATAGACAGTTGTCAGTTTACGTCCAAGATGGGCAGCCATGTATTTTTTGTTAGGGGTCGACTTGTTACGGAGCCGAAGGAGTCGCGCGACATGACCAACATGAGCACGGACCTCGCTGCGAGGCTACGGGGGAAGGGCCACGATCACGAGGATCCGCTGGGTGGTTCCCGGGGACCTGAAGACGGCACGAATCAGCGAATAAACACGTTTGCCAGCGTCGGTCCCGAACAGTGTGTCATTGCACTTTGGATGTGTATTGTATCTGGTGCGAGCTACGTGGTACAACATGTGTTGCAAGCTCGGTGGTGCAGGTTACGTGGCACAGTCTACATGGTGCAATTCGTTCTGAAGAACTTGAAGTCGTCAACCCCACTGCTCGTGCAAATATCCCACCCTCCCACCCGCAACGCGTTGGCAAAGCTCAACCAGCCTGATCTCAATGAGCGCACGGGCGCGTAGAATTCGGCCGCGCAGACAAATCCAACCTGCAGGTGGCGAGACGGTGGTGGCGATGGTGACGACCGCGTCGCCAACGACGATGGCGACGACCGTGGCGGTGACGCTGCTGCCGATGGTGATGACTGGAGATGTTGGCGATACGATGTCGACGACGACGATGGTGATTGTGATGGAGCTGATGGTGATGAGTCTGACGGTGGCAACGATGACGCTGGCGATGATTATGACGATGGTGCAGGTAATGATGAGGGAGTGCCCACGAACAGAAGTTTGACGAGGGCGACAGCGTCGACGATGACGACGCTGACGGCGGCGTGCAATCTACGCGGTGCCATCTATGTGGTGTAATCTCTATGGCGCATTACTTTTTTTGATCCGCGGGTCGAGAGCGCACCTCTTCCGGTCGAAGCTAAGCGGGCCGCGCACAGCTTGAATTAGCGAGAGGGAAGCAGAAGGAGGGGCCTCACATCTAGGCCAGGAGGGGCAAAGCCCAGGAAACAGGCGGTGCCGAGGACGAAGTACTTGCAAAGGAACGCCTTGGACAGGAACCCGGCGGCGAAGTACCGGAAAAAGCAAAATGCTATGGTGGTGGTGCCGTCAACGGCGCGTCGTACACCAGCCCCAAGTGGCGGCAGAGGAGGACTCGCCTTGTATCCAACAGGCGACGCCCAGGGAAGGTAGGGAGCATCGCTGAGCCGAAGTGCAACGCTGTGCCACCGAACAGGATGCGGGAGCAGGGCCGTGGGTGTCCAAGGTGCCACACATGGTGCACTACATGTGATGCAAGGTATGTGGTGCAAACTATGTGGCGCAGTCTATGTGGTGCAAGCTATGTGGCGCAATCCTTGTGGTGCAAGCTATGTGGTGCAACTAATTTCTGTTCGCAGTGAGTTGTCCACTCCACTGCTCGCGCAAACATCCCGCCCACCCACCCACCCGCAACTTGGTTTGCAAAATCTGTTAAGCCCGTGACGGTGGGTACCACATGGCACTTGGCAACGACAGCGACGCCGACGACGACAGCGACGATGACGACGCCGCCGACAACATCTACGAGAACACCGACGACGTCTCCAACGACTTCGACGACGCCGACAACGACGACGACGATGACACCGACGACGACGACGACGACGGCGGCGACGACGACGACGCCGACGTCGACGACGACGAAGACGACAACGACGCCGACGCCGACGACGACGACGAAGACGACGACGACGTCGCCAACGAAGACAAGGAGGAAGGAGGGAGGACGACGACGGCGACAACGACGATAACGACGAGGGAGGAGGGAGGACGGCGACGACGCGAACGACGAAGAAGGAGGAAGGACGGCGACGCCGACGACGGCAATGACGAGGGAGGAGGGAAGACGACGACGACGACGACGACGACGACGGCGACGAAATAGGAGGGACGACGACGAGACGCCGACGACGGACGACGACTCCGACGAGGGAGGAGGAGGAAGGACGACCATGGCGACAACGACGACGAAAACGACCACGACGCCAAAGAGGACGACGACGACGAACACGAGGAAAGACAGAGGACGACGTAGGCGACGACGACGACGACAACGACGCGGCAGGAGGGAGGACGGCGACGACGACGACGACGACGCAAGAGCGCGCGCGCACGCTTTTGTTGAAAGTCCGTGTTGCGAAACCTTGTGTTTTTGTAGGTTTTTCGGACACACGATTTTGAAATCCTTCCGAAACCGATGGGTTTTGAAGGTTTTCGGCATACGCGCGCGACGACGCGCGCGTCTGCACTGCGCCCCATTTGTTGCAGGGGATTCTCGCGACGGCACACGCGCAAGGGCGTTCGACAGATTTCGACATGAGCGCGCGCGAAACCCGTTTGGTAGCATGTTGTGAAAATCGTGAAAAACTCTTGGTTTTCTTAAGATTTCGCAAGAGATTTCGCGGAAACTTGTTTAGCAACTCTGTGTTGCGAAACCTTGTGTTTCTGTATGTATTTTGGAAACTCGATTGCGAAATCCTTCCCGCACCGCAAGTTTTTGAAGGATTTCGGCATGCGCGCGCGACGCCGCGCGCGTGTGCACTTCGTCTCTATTTTTGCAAAGGTTCTGCGAAAAAGTGCTATGTTAGAACAAAAAATCACCGCGTAGTGTTTTTTACGAGGGGACCTAAGGGGGGGGGTAACCGGCCTAGCTGGGATGGTATGATTTCATATTTAGGATGGGCGAGTGTGCATACTATATATATATATATATAAATATATATATGAAATCGTAGTATCCCAGGGGGAACCGATAAGTTCGGGCGGGGGGGTAGAGTCTATTCTTTTTTCCCAACCATCCTGTGGTGTTGGGTCCTCGTTTTGAAGAGACGGTGCCCCGCGTCTCCTTCCTCCTTCCTCCTCTTCCGCTTCCTCCCCCTCCTATCATCCTCCTCCTCCTCCTCCTCATCATCATCATCATCGTCATCATCATCATCATCATCATCATCATCATCATCGTCATTGTCATCGTCGTCATCGTCATCGTCATTACCCACTTCGGCACACCCCTCACACGTTTCGTGGCCCCATAGGGAGCTCCACCGAAGGCCCCATGGCTGCCGTCCGCATGCGTCCCGCACACCCATTTCGGCACACCCCTCACACGTTTCGTGGCCCCACAGGGAGCTCCACCGAAGGCCCCAGTGCTGCCGTCCGCATGCGTCCCGCACACCCATTTCGGCACACCCCTCACACGTTTCGTGGCCCCATAGGGAGCTCCACCGAAGGCCCCATGGCTGCCGTCCGCATGCGTCCCGCACACCCATTTCGGCACACCCCTCACACGTTTCGTGGCCCCACAGGGAGCTCCACCGAAGGCCCCAGTGCTGCCGTCCGCATGCGTCCCGCACACCCATTTCGGCACACCCCTCACACGTTTCGTGGCCCCACAGGGAGCTCCACCGAAGGCCCCAGTGCTGCCGTCCGCATGCGCCCCGCACACCCATTTCGGCACACCCCTCACACGTTTCGTGGCCCCATAGGGAGCTCCACCGAAGGCCCCAGTGGCTGCCGTCCGCATGCGTCCCGCACACCCATTTCGGCACACCCCTCACACGTTTCGTGGCCCCATAGGGAGCTCCACCGAAGGCCCCATGGCTGCCGTCCGCATGCGTCCCGCACACCCATTTCGGCACACCCCTCACACGTTTCGTGGCCCCACAGGGAGCTCCACCGAAGGCCCCAGTGCTGCCGTCCGCATGCGTCCCGCACACCCATTTCGGCACACCCCTCACACGTTTCGTGGCCCCATAGGGAGCTCCACCGAAGGCCCCATGGCTGCCGTCCGCATGCGTCCCGCACACCCATTTCGGCACACCCCTCACACGTTTCGTGGCCCCACAGGGAGCTCCACCGAAGGCCCCAGTGCTGCCGTCCGCATGCGTCCCGCACACCCATTTCGGCACACCCCTCACACGTTTCGTGGCCCCACAGGGAGCTCCACCGAAGGCCCCAGTTCCGCATGCGTCCCGCACACCCATTCGGCACACCTCTCACACGTTCGTGGCCCCATAGGGAGCTCCACCGAAGGCCCATGGCTGCCGTCCATCATGCGTCCCGCACACCCATTTCGGCACACCCCTCACCGTTGTGGCCCCATAGGGGGCTCCACGGAAGGCCCCATGGCTGTGGGACGCGAGCTCCACCGAAAGCCCCATGCTGCCGTCCGCATGCTCCCGCACACCCATTTCGGCACACCCCTCACACGTTTCGTGGCCCCACAGGGAGCTCCACCGAAGGCCCCAGTGCTGCCGTCCGCATGCGTCCCGCACACCCATTTCGGCACACCCCTCACACGTTTCGTGGCCCCATAGGGAGCTCCCCGAAGGCCCCATGGCTGCCGTCCGCATGCGTCCCGCACACCCATTTCGGCACACCCCTCACACGTTTCGTGGCCCCACAGGGAGCTCCACCGAAGGCCCCATTGCTGCCGTCCGCATGCGTCCCGCACACCCATTTCGGCACACCCCTCACACGTTTCGTGGCCCCACAGGGAGCTCCACCGAAGGCCCCATGGCTGCCGTCCGCATGCGTCCCGCACACCCATTTCGGCACACCCCTCACACGTTTCGTGGGCAGGACGGTCGGGGCAGCGACGGCGGCGGCGGCGCTGGGGTTGCCGCCGCCGGCAGCGGCGACGCCCGGGCCGCCGTCGGCGGCGACGACGCCGAGCGCGCCCCAAGAGCGCGCTCGCAAGCGGCCGCGGTAGGCAGGCTCTCCCTCTTCCTCCTCCCCTCTCTCCTCCTCCTCCTCCGACCACTCCTCCTCTGCTTTAGACTAGATCGTGATCTGGTCCAGCAGGCCTCTTCCTTGTCACAATGGCCTAGATCGGGATGTGGTCCAATCCCTTAGGGCCGCGCCAGGGCTGGGGAATCCTTTAGGGCCGCGCCGCTTTTGGGGAATCTTCTTCCAAAGTCTTTCCAAACCCGCCCAAATCCTCCCAAACCCGCCCAATCCTGCCGAACCCACCCAAATTCTCCCAAATCCACCAGAATCCTGCCAAACCCACCCACATCATCTGCCCGGAGTCGACCTAATCCTTCCAAGTCCTCCCAAACCCGCCCACTTCTTCCAAATCCGCCCGAATCCTTTCAAATCTTCCCGAACACAACCGAATCCTCCCAAATCCACCCAGATCCTCCCAAACCCGCCCAAATCCTCCCAAACCCACCCAAA